AGCCACTCCTTGGAAGGAAGGTTGGGCAATCTACTTCCGTAGTGACACTGCCTCGGCAACCCAAGCAGGGGTCCCTATGAGTTGGGGTCTACTCGACGGCACGTAACAACAACAGTGGTAGAAGATGCTGGTCTGGCTTTCCTGACAAGTCACTTATCTTATGGGGCTTGATAGAAAGTGAAGTTTTGGGTAGCTAATCAGTAAGGTCTTGTAGGTTCTAGAATTCTAATTCTGACCCTCTCCTGTTCTTAAGCATGCAGGTTTAATTTTAACGCACCTCTCATTTTTTCCTTACTACCTTCTTGGAAGGGTATCCAGGATTATTCTTTTCATTTTTAAACTGAGATAAAAGGCACAGAGAGTTAAGTGATGTGACCTCAGGTTACAGAGAGGCTGCAGCAAAGTGCCAAGGTCTGCCAATATCAGCATAGTTGTCTAGGCCCAGTGTGAGGTGTCAGGGATACACCCATGCTTCAGGCATGAAAATACTTCACTTTGGGAGACCTCACCTATGTTCCTCTTAAGTAGTTTGGATGATGGAACCCTGGGTAATTGAATTAGGAGACCTGGGTTCATTTGCAAGCTCTGCTTCTAACGGGCTTCATGCTTAGCACTTTTCTATGCTTTAGTTTTGACACTCATTAAGATAGGGGCAGACCAGTTCAGTGTTTCTCAACATTTTAAACCCCTTTCCCCTTTCAGTAAAAACAAAACAACTGTTTGTTCTGTTTTATGTTAATTGATGTTTCAAAATAATTATTATAACTGAAACCCAATCAATATATTACATCTTATAAGAAAAAATTAATTTTGAAAGGCATACTTTTAACCTTTGATCTTTTAATGTGAAAGGAGAGTGTTGCATCTGCCTGCTTTTCTAGCTATTCTGTTCTAGGCAGCATGGACCATAGAACCTGGCACTGATCACTTTCAATTCTGAGCTGTGGGAGCTGCTTGGTGTGTAGTCATCATGCAAAAAATCAGCTTTGCACATGCTTAAAATTATAATGCTAAACATACCTTTTCATGAGGTGCCACCAATCCCCCAGTATCATACTTAATGACCTGTGTTTTTCAAATGGTATATTGTGATCCCTTGTGGATTGACATTTTAAAAAAAGAGAATAGTGAGAGTACAAAATAAGAGTGAACATGACTTGTAGTAGGGAGATGTGTTGTTTTCATGGCATTTTGTTCTGGGTTTATATATATGTGTGTGTGTGTGTGTGTGTGTGTGGGAGCGCGCGCGCGCGCACTCTCTGGGTGGCAATGTAAAATCTACTCTTGCTGGGCATCACGGTCAAAAATGTACGACAAATGTTGAACCTAGTGATCACTAATGTCTTTCAAGATCCAGCCTATGATTATTTTATGATTATTTGGACGACCTTCGGCAATCTTTCTGCTCCTTTCCTGAGACTTCCTTTTTCACTCTGGTGGGATATGAGTAGTGCTCATTAATCTCTAAAGGACCAGACTCCTGGGATCTTCAGCTGCAGGTTTTCTCATACCAGTTCTGAGCCCCACTGCAGGTACCAAAGGAAATAGAGCTCATCGGGTCTCTCTAGAGCCTTTGCCAAATGGAAGCAATTACTTACTCCTGCTGTTTGGGGCTTTGCAACAGGTTTTCTGTGAGATTCTTCCTGGTCCTCCGCAGTAGTGTAGCCAGACCAGCACTTGGGGTGGTTGTGAGAACCCCTAGTCTGGAGTGCTCAAAACTGGGGAGAATGCCAGGTGGGTGGAGGAGGAAATTCCAACCTGATTAGGCACACCACTTGTAGACCATGCTGAGTCCCGCCGTGGTGAAAGCAGAGGCAGAAGGAAACAGGCCAGATTTGAAGTGTGAGCTACTGCTGATCCTTGCACGGCCATTTTGTTTTACTTGCCAGGGTAACCCCGTCCTTCAACTCTCTTAGGATAAACCTCTCTTCCCAGGAGGGCTTCAGAAGGAATGGGAGGACCACTGAGCTGAGAGCCCAGCAAAGTAAGGCTGAATATTCTCTATAGAAATTAGTGAGCGCTGAGCAAGTTGGCCTCCTCGTGTTGACCTGATAGGCTGCCTTAGCTGGCTTCTGCTGAGTTCTGAGCTGCACTTAGCAAGGCAGGTGGCCAGGAGCTCAGCATTCCTTAACTTTGGAGTTTCTTCCTCAAGGTCTCCTTGATGTAGGCTGATTGGCAGAAAGGGTGCTTGGGGGGGTATGAAGGAAGCTGCCAGAGTCCCCTCCCACCCACACCAGTGCTTTTGAAAGTCCTTTGGCGATTGAAACAA